TTGTAGAAATAAGAATTTAGGCTGGGTGTGGTGGTTCACACCTGTAATCCCAGCACTTTGGGAGGCCGAGGCGGGTGGATCACCTGAGGTCAGGAGTTCAAAACCAGCCTGGCCAACATGGCGAAACTCTTGTCTCCACTAAAAATACAAAAATTAGCCAGGCATGGTGGCGGGCGCCTGTAATACCAGCTACTCGGGGGGCTGAGGCAGGAGAATTGTTTGAACCTGGGAGGTGGAGGTTGCAGTGAGCCGAGATCGCGCCATTGCACTCCAGCCTGGGCAACAGAGTGAGACTCCATCTCAAAAAAAAAAAAAAAAAAGAATTTCATGGAGCCAAGATTCTAGCATAGCCAAGGGTTCAACTTACATGTTTCATGTCTTAGAACTGTTTCCTCTATCGACCTTTATTTTTTCTCATTTCACAGATAATTTTCTCTTTTAGGTATGATATCATTCTAAATGGATAACTCCAGTAATCAATGTTAATAATTTTCTATAATTTTCTAACTTCAAAAAAATATTTTTTAGAGATTGTCTCCAATCCTCTTGGAGACACTGTCACTGCAATTACAGGCGGAAGAATAAAATTACCATCATTTCCCAGCAAGGAGATGAGGTCATGGAATCCCAAACCTTATTCTCAGAGTTCAGATGCCCATGCCAAAAACTGATGCTACTCTCCTAGTAGCAAATACCATTTGGTAAGTAACCACTATCTCTACATAAGTCATATTCTTCAAAAAGCAGACTATATCTTGGAGAATCCAGTAAGAAATGTTATATAAAAAATTGTAATTTAGAGGTTTGGAATACAAATACTCAGAAGGAACATACTATGAGGTACCCAGCAGCATAGACTACCTCATGCATTTGCTTTAGTGCCCCTAGAATCTCTATTCCATGTTTTCTCTTATAACCTATGTTTTCTCTTATTAGCCTCCATTTCATCCCTGACCAAATACTCTGAACTTCACACAATCACTCAAAGAGTTTATTTGCCTGTGAAGTGAAGAGCAATAAGACAAATTGTTTTACTCACAACTACTGAGTGGACATTTGGCATCTCTGTAGCAATTAATTGGAAATAAACATTTTTGCTTCTTAAAAAATCATGATTTCAAAATAGAATCTGTAGGGGTATTTTACTAAAGATTCTCAGACACCTGCAAAACCAAACATTCTTTCTAGTTTAGTTTAAGAAAAATATTTGTAAAAAGTTGTAAGTTACAAATAGATAATCCTGAATATAAGGACTCTGAGGCTATAATTGTTAGGCAGATTTGAAAGCATGTTTTTTCTGTTTTGTTTCTGATGCAGTTTTGCTTGTCGCCCAGGCTGGAGTGTAATGGCACAATCTCTGCTCACTGCAACCTCTGCCTCCCAGATTCAAGGGATTCGCCTGCCTAATGTATTTTTAGTAGACACAGGGTTTCGCCATGTTAGCCAGGCTAGTCTGGAACTCCTGTCCTCAGATGATCCGCCTGCCTCCGCCTTCCGAAGGGCTGGGATTATACGTGTGAGCCACTGCTGCTGGCTGACAGTATCTTTTATAAGTAAATAGCAACGTAATTATCAGTATTTTGCTATGTCCTATGTTGAAGTAGCTCAGGTAATTCTGAACCAGTTTAAGTATTTAGTGTGTCATTAGACATCGTAAGATAGCTTATTCTGGCAAAATTTACTCTGGTCACATACACTCTCTGATAAATAGCTAGTTTCCTAAAGACTGTAATTTTCTTTTTCTTTTTTTTTTTTTTTTGAGACGGAGTCTTGCTCTGTCGCCCAGGCTGGAGTGCAGTGGCAGGATCTTGGCTCACTACAAGCTCCGCCTTCCGGGTTCAAGCCATTGTCCTGCCTCAGCCTCCAAGTAGCTGGGACTACAGGCGCCCGCCACCATGCCCGGCTAATTTTTTGTGTTTTTAGTAGAGACGGGGTTTCACTGTGTTAACCAGGGTGGTCTCGATCTCCTGACCTCATGATCCACCCGCCTCAGACTCCCAAAGTGCTGAGATTACAGGTGTAAGCCACCACGCCTGGCCTAAATAATGTAATGTTCTTAAGTTAAATTTGAACTGTGCTCCCACAGTACCTCTGTACCAGAAAACCTTGAGCCTTTTTGAAAACTTGAAGTTTGTAAGAGGCTTAGTGTTAAGCGTAATTTTAGGATCTGCAGACTCCTAGTCTTTTTCTCCAATTAATACAATCTTTGTTAATCTCACAAGTTAATTTGGCATGCTTGTATATGGCTTAAATTTATTTTATACATTTTGATATTAACTTCATTTCTTTCCTTTTCATTAGTCTCTTATTGTGCTTCATCAACCTAATTGTTGTTGTTCTAATACTATTTTTTTTTTCAATTTTTAAGTGCTAATTTACTACTGTTTTAAACAAATCTATGCATATGTGGCATATTATCCTCTCTGAATCACTTACTCTATAATTTAGACTGAGATCACTATTGTTAATTTTCTCAGGAACAATTTTATTCATTTTCAAATATACTAGGAACTCCGTCGCTAATCTGTTTGTGGTAATTGCTCAATTGTCTTCCACAGCTCTTTAAACCAATCCCAAAAGGCCGGGCATGGTGGTTCACGCCTGTAATTCCAGCACTTGGGGAGGTCGAGGCAGTCAGATCACCTGAGGTCAGAAGTTCAAGACCAGCCTGACCAACATGGAGAAACCCTGTCTCTACTAAAAATACAAAATTAGCTGGGCGTGGTGGCGCATGCCTGTGGAATCCCAGCGACTCGGAAGGCTGAGACAGAAGAATTGCTTGAACCCGGGAGGCGGAGGTTGCAGTGAGCTCAGATCATGCCATGGCACTCCAGCCTGGGCAACAAGAGTGAAACTCTGTCTCGAAAACCAAAAAAAAAAACAACAAAAAAAAACAAAAACAAAATCCCATTTATGATTATGAAATTCAAAATGATCAAGGCTATTATGTTATCCCACATACCAGAACTGTTGTTTTCAGTTCACCAATAAGTATTTCCCCTCCAAAATTTGATGTCTTTTATTTTTTGAGACAGTCTCCCTCTATAGCCCAGGCTAGAGTGCAGTAGTGCAATCTTGGCTCACTGCCACCTCTGCCTCCTGGGTTCAAGTGATTCTCCTGCCTTAGCTTCCTGAGTAACTGGGATTACAGGTGTGCACCTCCACACTGAGCTAAAGTCTCCAATCTCATCTAAATTATCTAAGTCCGGTACGGATGGGGCTCTAGGTATAATCTCATCTTGGGGCACAATTCCTGTGTTGTTGGGGGGGCTCACTGGACATTGTTGGTGAGACCCCAGACCCCGCCAGCATCCAGGTTCTTAACACCATCGAAGAATTCAGTGACGAGTCACAATGCAGCAAAGGCAAGGAGCTTTTATTGTGAAGCAAAAGTATACACAAGAGAGAAGTGTGGGAGTGCTCCTAAGAGCAAGTCATGCAAAATGAAGTTTGGGTTTCTAATTGTATGAGTGTTCCTCTAATCGGGGTAATCATTAGGTATTCTGGGAAAGGAGGGAATTTCAGGGACCCCCGATTACCACCCCTCCTCCCTTATTTGCATTTGACTGGAAGAGTCATGGACATGTCACCCTGACTGGGGTTCTGGCAGTTTTCTCTTTCGTTTTGGGTTTTCTACTATCCCATGCTTTCTTTGCCTAGTTCCTGTTTTAGCTGTTGTTTTGGTTTTTTCTTTTTTTTCAGCCGCACCAAAACCAGGGTGTTGAGATTTTCCATCCTCCTGTGACCACCCAGTGCTATTCCTGTCTCGTCTGGATCCATAAAACTAGAAAACTAGTTATCTGCTCCCAAACAAAAGGGTGGGAAAGACCTAGGGTAATAGTTGTATGTATATGCATTGTTTCAAAAAGGGAGGAAATGGAAGGGGGAAAACAAACAAATGGAACCATCAATCCCAAGAAAATTTGAAATCTAGTTTGGCAAATCCCACTGGGAGTCAAGACATGGGAATATCACGTGGTTCAGGACTCTGCCCACTGGACTCTCCTCTGCTCTGAGTCATCCTTCCTTTCTCATGAAAGGTAGCAAGGGCTTGCCCCTGTTTCTGCAGCCAGTCCCATGTATAGAATATTACACCCTTTAACTTCACACTTTACATGTCTACACCCTTTAACTTCATACTTTCAAGGTTCCTTTAGACCCAAGGTGAGCATTTTCACTTATATAAAATTTTCAAGAATTTTGTGAGTCTCCTGTATGTCACTGAAATTCACACCATTAGAAAAGAGGTTTATGCAGATTATTCCCCCTAGGGAATCCCCTATCTATATTTTTGGCTTTTGCTGAGATGACTGATAAATAGTTTAAACTTCTTACAAATTGTTTGTATTGAGGGGATCTACAAGTCATGTTTAATCTCTTCAAAGAAATGAGTGTTCTAATGTATGTTTTGATCTCAGTAATAGCAAACATCCTTGTCTATCTCTCTAAAACATGCTTTCCTGACAATGAATCTCTTAATTTCAATTTTTTTTTTTTTTCCAATTCAGATGAGCTAGGAATTTCCCAAATCATCAAATCTTGGGTCTTTTCTGTTTCGCAATTCTTCCCTGTATGTATCTCTTTTCCAATATATTTTACTATAATAAGAAACATGGCCACACCTTCAAAACCTCTGCTTAAAAATGTTCTCAGCTGGCCGGGCGCGGTGGCTCAAGCCTGTAATCCCAGCACTTTGGGAGGCCGAGACGGGCGGATCACGAGGTCAGGAGATCGAGACCATCCTGGCTAACACGATGAAACCCCGTCTCTACTAAAAAATACAAAAAAATAGCCGGGCGAGGTGGCAGGCACCTATAGTCCCAGCTACTCAGGAGGCTGAGGCAGGAGAATGGCATAAACCCGGGAGGTGGAGCTTGCAGTGAGCTGAGATTCGGCCACTGCACTCCAGCCTGGGCGACAGAGCGAGACTCCGTCTCAAAAAAAAAAAAAAAAAAAAAAGTTCTCAGCTAAGCGTCCATATAAAGACTCATGCATCAATATTTGCAGCAGCTTTTTAGTATTTAAAAATGGGGTGTGGAGTGCAGACACCAATCAAGATAAATGGATAAACTGTGGTATATCCATACAGAATATGACTCAGTAATTTTAAAATGGGCTATTCATACATACCATGGACAAATTTCAAATTCTGTTGCATGAAGACAACAAACAAAATTAACACTTTATAGACAGACTTACATAAAATTCTAGAAAAGACAAATTTACCTATAGTGAAAACTACTCAATGGTTGCCTAGGGATTTTGGGGGAAGGAGAGCACTCCCCCACACTTTGGGGGAAGGGCCTGAGGTTAACTTTGGGGTGACAGATCTGTCTGACACCACTGATAGGGTGATAGTTTCAAGTGTGTGTGTGTGTATCAAGACTTACTGGTACACTTTAAATATGTGCAATATATTGCATGTTGATTACACCTCAGTGAACCTATAAAAAGTTATCCCTTTAAAAAATCTGGGTGTTCCACTTCTATTGGAAATTGGACAACTGGACATCAAGAGTGACTCTACATCACTACGGTGACTCTTATCACTCCAAATACCTTGGGAAGACAATCTCTTCCTCAGTAGTAAGAAAAACTGGCAAACAATGAGGACCATTGCCAACAGAGTCACCAGAAACCCCAGCTGGTCACAAAAGCTACTTCTTTGGACCACCACACCTCTTTACTCCCAGGGTTACTGCCTGTGCAGCAAAGACATTAGGTAAAGAGCCCAGGGAGGCAGAGGAATCTAGGAAAACTACATTCGTTGCTGCACCAGTGATCTTGACCTAACAGTAACACGGCCCTGGAGATCCTGAGATTTCTGGATACCTGATCCCATCCAGCCTCAGTGCCTGGACTTTCTGTGGATGTGTTTTTACAATGTGTACTTCCCCTCTAGTTCGCCACAATCTCCCCAATCCCAATTATCCACACCCAATATTTATCAATTTTGTTTCCCTACTGGATGTTTTAGATCTTACCAACAGTGGCCTGTGTACCAGATTCAGGCCTTCAGGGAATATGGCCACCCGGCAGGTCCTGAGGAACAGCTTTCCCTCAACAGTGTTGGGGAACAAGGGACATATGCTGGAAACAAGACACTCAATCCATGCTGTTTCAGAACACTGCAGGCTGTCACAGCAGCGGCACCCTCCTCAAGGTGAAATATGGGCTCTCAAATAATCCAGACAAATCAGGTCTACACAAGATCTGAATTCTTACTTAACAAGCTTTGTCAGCTATGGAAGTTAACATCAAAACTGAACTAAGAACTGTTCTCCCTCAACCCACTGTCCCATTTGAGGCAAAGTTGGAGGTGCCCCACAAAGGCTGTCTTCAGTTTGGCAGAGTCTGTTTTCAATCCACTCCAGACAGTAAGAACCCCCAAGATTAAAAGTGGCTTAAACTGTAAAGCCTTTATTATCACAAACCAGAGCAACATGAGGCAAGTACTTTCCCAGGCCAGGTGACTTGGAGGCTGGAAAAACTCAATACAAGTATGTGAGACCAAGAATATCCATGAAGAAAGTAAACCTTCTGTATAAGCCACCAGCAGATACAGCTCAGACCCTCGTGGCTAAAGATGGATCATGTCCATACCTATACCTGTCATACAGAACGGAATGAGGACCCCCAATGAACTCAGGCATCTCATGATTTTCTCCAGGGACTGGAGAATACAAAACCCTGCGTTCCCCAATGCTGGGGTATCTAAGCTGGTAGAGTTAAGATGGTTTCGGCCACAGGCATTGACAGTGACAAAACTCTGGCAAAAAACCTGAGCAGGTCAGAAAGTGCAACATATCCCTCGAAGCTTCCTACATACCTGGCACCATAAGGAATCTCCTTTGTGTCAATGTTCAGATATATGAAATTCAACATCTGACTCATGAGTCCTGTTGTATTCAAAGCACTCCTAAAGCCTGCCTGCAGTGTGAACTTTCTGGTGCCGATTGAGGTGGGAGCTTAAGCTGTAGGCCTTCCCACATTCACTGCACTCATATGGCCTTTCTCCAGTGTGAACTCTTTGGTGTCGAACAAGGTGGGAGGTTCTGATAAAGTCTTTCCCACATTTACTGCACACAAAAGGCCTTTCACCAGTGTGAACCCTCTGGTGTGCAATAAAATCAGAACTTCGACTAAAGAATTTCCCGCATTCAATGCACTCAAAAGGCTTTGACTCAGTGTGAATTCTCTGATGTTTAATGAGGGTGTATTTGTGGCCAAAGGATTTCCCACAATCACTGCAATCGTAAGGATTTTCTCCAGTGTGAATACTCTCATGCTGAACAAGTGTAGATTTGTGTCTGAATACTTTCCCACAATCACTGCACTTATAAGGCCTTGCTCCATTGTGAACTCTCTGGTGTACAATTAGATTGGAGTGATGGCTAAAATATTTCCCACATTCATTGCACTTATACGGCATTTCTCCAGTGTGGATTCTCTTGTGCTGAGTAAGGTTGTCTTTTCGACTGAAGGTTTTTCCACATTCGCTGCATTCATAAGGCCTTTCTCCAGTATGAATTCTCTGATGCTGGACAAGTGTAGCTTTGCGGCTGAAGGCTTTCCCACATTCACTGCACTCGTAAGGTTTCTCTCCACTATGAATTCTCTGGTGCTGGACAAGTGTGTCTTTGCGGCTGAAAGCTTTCCCACATTCACTGCACTTGTAATGCATTTGTTCTCCGTGAAATGCATCCCCACTCTCAGTGCTCCTGTGTGTCTTCCTCTTACTGCGGATGGCCTTTTGTTGGCAGCCACCCAAAGTAGCCTGGAAGTTTTTCTGCTCCTCCTTACACGTAAAGGGTTTCTCTGATGGGTGAGGTTCTTTGCTAACTGTGCAGTTCTTCACAATTGAGGCCTCACCTTCATCCCTTCTTAAGGGTTTCTCTATACTGTAACACTTCTGGTGTTGATGAAGGTTTGCCCTGAACCAGAATTGTCTCCCACATGCCCCACATGTGTGAAGTTTCAGTCCATGGTGTGTACCCTGGTGTTCATCCAGGTGCAAAATATCTTTCAAGATGGGGCCACATATGTCACAAGGGTAAGCTGTCTGTGTGGGCAAACCTGCCTTGGAAGTATTAACATGTGACACTGCTATAGAAATGCTCTGTTCAGAAGATGACTCTTCATCCTTCACTCCATGCCAACAACCTGAAGGCAGAAAAATACTATTGATGTACATGCTGACTTTGGTGGGTGGGGCAACTCCATCACAAATGTGTGTCTGTTGTACCCAGGACTGAGTACCTAAGTTTCCTGGTGGAACAGAGCTAGGATCAGGTTGAAGAAAAGGCTGCTGTACAGTACTGGAATCTAAAAGTCACAAAATGGAGATGACCTCACAAGAAACAAAGACACGAGGATGGGGTGTAGTACAAGGTCTCCAACTTCATCCTCTGCAATGACTTTTAGCAGGACCCTGGCTGACTGTGGGTGACAGGTGAGTGCTATGCCGAAATGTGTGTCCAGGCCCAGGAAAATGTGATTAAAAACAAGTAACGTGTTCAGGGACTATTTAAGGATATGCACACATCTTATGACACATCAGTGTAAGTGTAGTCCAATATTGGAAAGCACTGCAGAGAGAGAGCTATTGCTCTACTAAGAGCCCCTCTGGTAGAGAATGGGAAAAGACAGCCCTGGGTCAGAAGATTAGAAATGACAAGAGTGTACAGAATGGGGATAAAAAGGTAGAACTAAGTTAGGGCCTCTAGCCTTGGCACTTGTGATGGGCACAACATAGGTGTCTGGAACTACAGGAACCCAGCCCTGAGGTTATGGCATCCCTCAGCTCCCACTCACCAGGGCCTGTCCAAGCCCCTCCTGCTGTGACTAGAGTCATGCCCTCTCAGGCACCCAGGGTTCTCTCTCGTTACAATTCAGCAACCACAAAGGATCTGGAAGATACAAAGCATAGGGGAAAGATGAAACAGACTGAGTGTGAAAGCACTAGCCCACAGTAGCCCACCCATGCAAAACTGCAAGAAAACAAATACTACAAAATGAACCTCAGAAAATTGTCCTGCAGGAACAGTGCAAGGGCTCCACAAGTGGTGACCATGATTTGACACAGGCAGACTCAAGGAAATTACAATTAGAGGAAGCAGGTAGAGCCTGGAGTCCAGAGGTGTCATGACTGTGGACAGTCACCTGGCCAGGGAGAGGCCAAGCAGGATTCACTGGGTCACCTTAAGACTCCTGACCCCCAAACCCTTCCTGGCAAGGCTTCAGGGCAGCAGGAGTTAAGGAACACAGGGAAGAGAGGAGGCAATGCATCTAGCTGAGCCTTGGCACCCAGGGGACCTAGGTGAGGGAATCAGAAGACAGCAGTGCCCATGCTCTAGCTATGGAAAGGAAAGAGTAATCCCTAGGGCAAAAAGGAAGAGTAGGGCCCAGTCCAGAAAAATGGGATACTGGGGCCTCACCCAGGGAGACTATAAATGCAAAGCACAGAAGCCATTATTTCATAATAGAAGAGTCTCTGAGCCTCATCCACCAGCTCCCATTCCTCCTAAGCACACAAATAAATCTTTGAAGGTCACACAGCCCTGTGTGAGATGGACAACTGAGCTTAAGAGCAGCCTCTCTCTCTGGGACTCCTTGTCACATCTAACTCAAATGAGATAACAGGCCTTGGTGTGACTGAGCTCAGCACTGTCTCAGAAACCCTCAGTACCAAAGCTCTGGGCTCAATAATTTACACTCCATCTCCATGTGCACATCACCCTTTTGGCCATACCTCCTTTACATCTATGACACCCACAACACAGGTACCTCCACGGCTTCCCCGCATGCAAATCTGCACACAGCATCCAGAGAATGCTTGGATAAAGCATCCAGGATAACATCTGGTCCTGATCAATGGACACACTGCCATGGGTTGCCCTGAATCCAGTTATTAAATTCCCCCCCTCCTGGCTCTATTTCACGGGTCAATTAGCAATCCAGAACCATGTGCAGATCTCAGATAAACTCAGCCCTTTTCTGCTTTGCTGTTGTACTACTGAGGTCAGTCACAGACTTCTTCTCAACACTTAACTCATTCAAAACCCACACTCACTGGGCACCTACCCCAAGCACACTGATTCTGCCTACTGTCCCAATCTGTCTCTGGGCTAATTCACTAGCTTGACTGAAACTCCACAGGTCCCACCAAAGGTCACCATGGAAGCCTGAGGAGCACATAAAGAGCTGAATAAGCACGGCTTTGGCCTCACTGTCACCTCCCTTCTGTTACTACAGTAGTTCACCTCACACCCACTCTCTCTCTGGAACACTTTGCCACCTGGCCTGGGACCCTATTATTCTCCTTCCTCCCAAGGACACTTCCTTCCCTCTTCTATCCTCTAAGATGGCCCCTACCTCCACCCTGCTGTGCCTGTCCTTACAGTGTGCTGATGGCACTGTCACCATGACCTAAAGATTCTCTCTCTAAATTGGTAGCAAGCCTCAATCCTGATCCACGTGCTGGGCAGCCACCCTGTGGATAGCTCCAACCTGAATCCCTTCTCTGAACTTCAGATCTCTGTGTCCAGCTGTCTACTTGACACCTCCACGCAAGTGTCTTTGGGACACGGTAGATTCCACATAGCCAAACTGCACTACTGATATTACCTCTGAAAGGTACTCCTACCACCAACTTTGCTACCTCAGTTGATGGCATATTTATATCTTCTCAGACGAAAACATCCAGGGTCATCCTTCACCCCTCCCCTTTTCTTTCTCATCCTCCACATCAGAAAATCTGGTTGGTCCCACTTTAAGAAAAATGATTCCGAATCCATCCACATCTCCAACCTCTACAGCCACCACTGTGGTCCAATCTGAACTGTTGCATTAAGCTCCTCAGTGGTATTCCTTCCTTCATCCTCACTCCCACAGTCTTTTCTTCACTGTACAGTCAGAGAAAGTTAGTTAAGACCAAAGTCAGATCACTCCCTCCTAGCTCCCAACCTGCAGTGGCTCCCAATTCTCTCAGCAAAGAAACCCAGATCCTCAGGCTGCCATTTCTGGGCCGAACCCTGTCCCTGCTGTCTGATCCCACTAGACATAATGGAGACCTGAGGTTCCCCAAACACTCCTAGTTTAGCCTCAAGTGAAGTATATGCACATGCTGGTTCCTGTGCCTGAGATCATGTTCCACACTTCATCCCACTGCTTGCCAGAAATGGGAACTCCACATAACTCCAAAACAGAATTTACAACACAGAGCTTTGGGTGACTGCAGGACCTCCTCAAACAGTAGGCAGAAGGGACACTGAAGAGTCCCAGAACACTATCATTTTTCATACTGAGTTGCTGAGATAATCGGGGTGTGTCAGGCTAAGTGAGGGCGTGAGACAATCTGCACTCATCTAGGTAGGAATCACAAGTTTCTGCCACCATGGCAACCTCACAAGAGGGAAGCTGGAAGTGGCAGGTTCCCACAGTGGGATCTCATGGACTGAACTGTTTCCCTAAGCTCTGTCTACCCTGCCCTTTGGCAGGAATGATTTTGGGTTACCTCTCTAACTTCAGATACTCAGATCTCAGTGCTGGCTCCTACCAGCTGTGTGAATATAAACAAAGACCAGTGTCTGAGTGTCCTCACCTTAAAAGTGGGGATAAAAATGGCACCTACCTCATAGGGCTATTGTTTGTATCAGGATTGTCTGTATATCTCAAGTGCCTTTAAAACAGCTACTACTATCCATGCAAATGAACTGATGAGTTTTTAAAAAATTAGGTCTGTTTTGCCTGCTTTAAAAGTTTTTAAGAAAATTTGGTAAGATTTTCCATTGTAATAACATACTTCAAGGCAAATTAATATTTTGACCAATCATTAAGTGCTAGTATAAACTTATCTTCCTTTGTATATGCATTTTTTAGTTCCCTACTTCTGTGTACTTGCAAAGTGTACACTAGTCCTTGCACTAAACCAGCCTACCTGACACATATTCCTCTGAAGGGGAGCTGCAGTGATCCTTCATTAGAGATGTTCATTAATTCTGCTTACCCGAGGGTTTGGGTAACTGAGGCACCAGTGCACTGGTTGGGGATGGAACTGCTCCACAGGCAGCGCCCATGAAGGCACGCTGAGCCTGTAGGGTGTCAAATCTACTGCATCCCTCACCTTGGTCTCCAGTGCAGGCCAGGCTACATATGCTCTACAGCCCTCTCCTCTTGCTGACACTATAAGATATAATAAAATTCTCTTCAAAGGTTTACCGTTAACTTTCTTGTTCTTTGTTCTCAAACCTAATTTTCTTGTTCTCCATGCCTCCTTGCCCCTAGTTACTGTAAACAACCTTCCCGTCAACACTAATCATTAATTCACATCTGTTCCTTTATTCACTTTGCATCCATTCCCCCCGCCAAAACCACACGTCCCACACAACCCACATGTCCCACCACTGTAACTCACCTTCCCCTTCCCTCTTCCTTATTTGGGAAAATATACCGAATTGGGTCAGCTTAGATTGTGCGGTTCGACCCCAGCCCATGGGAGAGTGACACAGAGGAAGGTAGGGACTACGGGTTAGAGATAAAACCCCCTTCCCTCCTTTGTTCAGTGTGCTCTTGTGATCGTGATTAACGCAGGCAGCACACTTACGCAGAAGTAAAATGCCTTGCTGAGAAAACTTTTGCCTGAGTGCTGGTTTCACTTTGCAGCACCGAGCATTTACTTCCAACACCACCATCTAGAATCTTTTCACATGCCAGGACCCCTCCTTTCTGGAAGGAATCTTCAGTATCCACTCCTTCATCCCTGGCCTTCCACCCTAACCCTACCTCTCACTTCAGAGACCACATAAGATAATATCTTTAATATTCCACCCTCTAAACCTGATCCACTACAGGCTTTACCCTTATGCCTCACGCCTTGAAGGTCTCTAGCACAACTCCCTCTCCAGAACTCCAGATCTGCATGTTCAGCTACCCATGTGAACCTCCAACGCAGAACACCTTAGATTCACCAAGTCCAAAACCCAATTTCTGATCCCCCTGAAAGGTGCTCCCTGCTGTGACTTACCAATTTCCATTCTTTCACATGTTCACGAAGGAAAACAGACCAAAAAAACCCTGGAGAGCCCTCCCCTCCCTACATTCACTCACGACCACATCTGATGCAGCAGGAAACCCCGTTGGTTCCATCTTTAAAAATCTATCCAGAATCTCACGACTTCCTCACCCAAATCCCTCCTGCCACTGCTGTGGCCCAGCCACCACGTCAACACTTCTGGAGATTGCTGCAGGGGCCTCCTCAAAGGTCTCCCTGCTCTGCCTCCATCTTCATCGTTTCTACCTCACTTTAGTCTGTTTCCTCCTCAGCAAACATTGGAATACTTTAAAAATCCTTTATCAAATCCCTTCCCTCCACCCTTCAAAACCTGCCATGGCTCCTATCGTCCTCGCAATGAAGATGCAACTTCTCCCCGCGACACTGCAGGCGTGACTACCGCTCACACACGCTCCCGACTGCTACGGGCTCAGTCCAGCTCCAAGCCTGTGCGCAGGCTGCCCCTCTGCCCGTCACACTCGCCCCCACCTTACATGCCAGATTTAGGAACGAGGTCCCACCCACCAGCGCCCCGCTGCCCTGGACACTGGGGCCTGCGCAGCAAGGACTCAGACAGGCGCTCCTCATTCGGAACTTCAGGCTTCTGGGCGGGCGAAAGTCTGGGGAACGCAGCACCCACCTGCGCCGGGCTCAGCACCGCGGCCGCCGCCATCATAGTTCATAGACCTCACAGAGCCGCGAGGGGTGTCCCAGGTCGCGGGACCCTGGCACCGCGGTCGTTCGTCCCCGGGGGGTGAAGGCGGGGTCTTCGCTGGCGAGCCACTCTGCAGGGCGAACAACGACTCCTCCCGCACCCTCCCGCTTCCGTCACCGCGGAACGGCCCAGCAACCCCGAGCTTTTGCTCCGATGGTTCCACCTAAGCGCCGAAAAGATGTCCGCCGCGAGGAAGATGCCGGAAGTCACGCCCAGAGAGCTTCCGTCCGCAGGGAAACGCCCCTGAGTGCCGCTGACGCGCGGCGCAGAGGTTTCTGGGCAATGTAGTTCTCATGGGCACGTGGCCGTGGCGACTCCCCTGCACGCTGGGCAGAGACCAAATGGTACTGCGAGGGGCGCTGAGAAATTATGCCTTGAGACTCGGAGGGCAGAGCGTGGCTTCGCTCCTCTTAAAGGACCCTCAACCAGGTCTTGTGTAGTGAAGTCTGCAGGGATCCCCGAAATATTGGGATATAGTCTTACATATGTTCCCCAAAGTCACACCACCAAATGGACACACGACATCCAATGTCCCTCTGAGTCCACTCAAATTTCCTTCATTTAAAAAAATATGTGTACTGTAGAGGGAAGCTTTGAGTCAGTTTTGTGAGCCTCGGTTGGGTCAGGGTTAACAGAGAATTGTCCCCAGGCAGGGCCATGGAGTGGAAGAATGGTCTCCAGACAGTGGCTGTGGAGGGATGCTGGAGCTCCCTGAGGCAAGTGGACTAATATAGAGCTCTTCCTGTGGTTTCCTCAGAAAAGAAATACCTGAGAGAACCATGAGGAGGAAGACAGGCAAAAGAAGGTGGTCAAGGAAGACACCTTTCCTGCCTGTATGGTCACTAATGTCCAACCAAAGGAGCAATACTCTTTTATCCAAATGAGAGTTCCTAGCCCAAAAATTGAGATATATCTATTTCCTTTTGGGAATGTTTCTTATCTGAAAAGAAGAAGCATTATAAATGTTTTCATGTGCCAAGACAGGGGCTGCAAAGGTGTTGTCTGAAACCAGAAACAAAGATTTGGAAAATTGGGATCACATTTCTTGGCTGGGAGGTGATTCTCATTTCACCTGCAATTACGCGGACAGTGTCTGAATTGAGAATTGAGATTTACTTATGGTTTAAAAAAATGAAAGAAGGGGGAATGTATGGGGAAAGAAAGACAAAAACATTTGTGAATTGTTTAAATTACTCTAAGTTTTTTTGTTTTTTCTTTGAGACAGAGTCTCGCTGTGTCGCCCAGGATGGAGTGCAGGGCACGATCTCGGCTCACTGCAACCTTCGCCTCCCGGGTTCACGCCATTCTCCTGCCTCAGCTTCCCGAGTAGCTGGGACTACAGGCGCCCGCCACCACGCCTGGCTTTTTTGTATTTTTAGTAAAGACGGGGGTTTCACCATGTTAGCCAGGATGGTCTCGATCTCCTGACCTCATGATCCACCCACCTCGGCCTCCCAAAGTGTTGGGATTACAGGCGTTAGCCACCGCGCCTGGCCAAATTACTCAAAGTTAATAATTCTGTAGTTATTCACAGATACATGAAGAAATGGACCTGGAGACACATATCTGTCATAGGTGAAAACGGTTAAGATGACAGCAAAATTTGAGCAGGAGACATTGAATTCCGAGAAGTGAGCAAATGAAGCTGAGCACACAGCTGTGCTAGAACTATGACCACAAGCAGGGTTTAGTCTCCAAAATGTAATATTTTTTATTTAATTTTGGAGACAGGATCTCGCTGTGTTGCACAGGCTGGAGTGTAGTGGCATGATCATGGCTTGCTGCAGCCTCAAACTCTTAGGCTCAAGGGATCCTCCCACCTCAACCTCCCAAAAAGTTGGGATTACAGATGTGAGCCACCATGCCAGGCCTCTTTTCATTCTTGAAAACACTCAGTAATACCTGGAGGGAGAAGTAAAGAAAACATTTAGAAAGTGCTATCAGAATGTTAATGTGAACAGGGATGCTGTAGTATTATGCTTATTCATAGTTCTAACAAATGTTCAAGGAACACTTACTGTATTTCAGACACTATCTTAACTGCATGGGACATTTACAAAACAAGAGACAGACCGCAGTAGCTTACGCTATACTCAAGAAAGACAGAGGAGGCCGGGCGCGGTGGCTCAAGCCTGTAATCCCAGCACTTTGGGAGGCCGAGACGGGCAGATCACGAGGTCAGGAGATCGAGAGACCATCCTGGCTAACACGGTGAAACCCCCTCTCTACTAAAAAATACAAAAAAACTAGCCGGGCGAGGTGGCGGGCGCCTGTAGTCCCAGCTACTCGGGAGGCTGAGGCAGGAGAATGGCGTAAACCCGGGAGGCGGAGCTTGCAGTGAGCTGAGATCCGGCCACTGCACTCCAGCCTGGGTGACAGAGCAAGACTCCGTCTCAAAAAAAAAAAAAAAAAAAAAAAAAAAAGAAAGAGGAGGAAATATGAAAAAAATGCTAAATTATATGGAGTGTTATAATGTGGCAGGCATAATGGAGAAAAGAGGTGAAAGCACTGAGAAGTGCTGGAATGATATGTAATATTACATAGCCAAGAGAGGCCAATTTGTGGATGGGTCTTTATTGGAAAAGGACATGGAGAGCTCAATGCCACTGAAATAAAAGTTTAATGTTACTCAGAATTCCCCTAGAAATGAGAAGTACAGTACGCCATGCAGGGCCACAGGAGGAACAGGTTTTAGCCTAAAGGAAGAAGCAAGAGCTAGGGGAGCACCTAGGCCAGATCCTTTATTGTGTTTTCCATGGGAAAGGCAAGGCAGATCAGAGCAAACAGCTGAGTACAGGCTAGTCTGAATAATGCTGGTTGGCTTTGATTTACAGGGGTGGTCTCTAGTGGCCTCATACCCTGACCCTGGTGTTAGAGTAGGTAGATATGAGTAGGGCAGGAGAGAGGGACCCCAGGAATTTCAGGCAATTTTGGCATTAAGGATGGGCAATCCATAAATCTTTTCCTCTGAGATAATAAACAGAACAAGAGAGGGACCCCTGAGATGTCCAGCTCTCATTGGGTGAAGGACAGGAGAGCATAAAACTATCCCTCTGAGATGTAAGCGGCCATGATTGGTACCAGGAAGGAAAAGAGTTTTCCAACAGATAGAAGACACCCAGAGCCAGTGAACCGCAATCTCTGATAAGGTTTCAAGCATGCACAAAATGGGGCAAGATGGCAAAATTTGACTGGTATTTGACCTTCCTCTGGGGGTGCTTGACTCGTAAGGGAAAATCACCCCAAACGAGTATATGTATGACTTCAGTAAACAGTCATATTTACTGCATGCGGCCCCTCCCAAGTGCTGGCAGACCACTGTGCATGCAGTAGTCAAGCAACAGCCTACCCAAGGGAGGAGAACAGGGAGCCTGGGAAATGAGCAAATGTATAAAGTTCCAAGCCAAGGATCAAGTGGGGCCCTTGACCTCTCAAGTAATCCACTTGGCCCTCTTTCAAGTGTACTTTGATTCCTTTCACTCCTACTCTAAAACATTTTAATAAATTCTCACTCCTGCTAAAAAAAACTTGCCTTGGTCTCTTCCTCTGCCTTAAACCAACCTCTGCCCTCTCGGTTGAATTTTCTTCTGAGGAGGCAAGGACCAATATTGCTGCGGACTGCTGCAAACTCACTGGCAGTAACGCTGGGACGATTTAGTGCAGGGAAAGTATTGGTTTGGTGAGTAAGCGTTAGATAAAGAGGGTGGTTGGCTTGACTTGCTCCCAAGATAGTTGTTTACTATTTTTAGAAATTAGTGGCCGGGCACGGTGGCTCAAGCCTGTAATCCCAGCACTTTGGGAGGCCGAGACGGGCGGATCACGAGGTCAGGAGATCGAGACCATCCTGGCTAACACGGTGAAACCCCGTCTCTACTAAAAAATACAAAAAAAAAAAACTAGCCGGGCGAGGTGGTGTGCGCCTGTAGTCCCAGCTACTCGGGAGGCTGAGGCAGGAGAATGGCGTGAACCCGGGAGGCGGAGCTTGCAGTGAGCTAAGTCTCTCTGTAACCAGCAAGAATTTTAAGATGTCAAGACATATAATACAAAAAACAAAAACCATGATTAATACATATGCTTCCTTAATGAGAGGGTGGTTGAAAAAGAAGGTTGAGGAATGAGGGCCCTGAACAGACCATTTCACAATTATAAAAATATTCACTTAATATGTATGTTCTTGGAAATTATAAGATGTGCACAATGAATTTGGTGGCTACTGATTCAGGCAAGGTTTTAAGCTCAGAATTTTGTCCAAAACAGTCACTTTGTTATTTTTCTGACATTCAGGGAATATGGCCACTCAGCAGGTGCTGAGGAACACCTTTTCCCTGAGGAACAGCTGTTCCTCCCTGTTTCCTGAGGAACAGTGTTGGGGAACATGGGACATATGCTGGAAACAAGACACCCAATCCACGCTGTTTCAAAACACTGCAAGCTGTCAAGTTGTCCAGTTTCCAACAGAAGTGGGAGGCCCAGATTTTTAAATGGAATAACTTCTTATAGGTTCATTGAGGTGTAATCAACATGCAATATACTGCACATATTTAAAGTGTAACAGTAAGTCTTGAGATATATATATACACACATACACACACACATACACGTATATACCCTTTTGAAATCATCACCCTATCAATGGTGTTGGACATATCTGTCACCCCCAAAGTTAACCTCAGGCCCTTACCTAAGGAGAAGTTTTATAAATAAAACCACACAAAAAAATACACGCTTTATGATGTCTAAAATAAAGTTCCAGAAAATTCAAGTCAATCAGTTGTAAAGGAATGTCAAAAGTTGCCTGCATATTCTGGAATGTATTATAAAAGAGCAAAAGTAAAATATGCAGATGAGATATGCTCATTCTTATGATGACAACAATGCTTCCATGAGTTTACACTTATGTCAGAACTTAAGTTGTACACTTTAAATATGTACAATTTATTCCACATCAGTTATAACTTGATAATTTTTTTTAATGGATGCAATTAACAATCTCAGTCATTGACACTTCAAAAAGTCTGGTTTACTAAGTCTCTATTGACTCTACCGTCTAGCTCCCAGGCCACGTAGAGGCAGCCCTGCTTCAGTGGCAGGAAATACAGGTGAGCAATGAAGGCCATTTCCACCAGCATTAAGAGGATTGCTACTGGATGACAAAAGTCGGACCAAGGACAACTGAATCTCTCTTGACTTCATCTTTTTTTTATTGTCTATGTAGCAATGGCCTTGAAGTAAACAGGCCAGAGAGGCTACAGGAATCCATAAAACCCGTGTTGTCTCTAGTAATGACTTGAGCTACAAGACACACATTTCTAGAGATTTAGGCACACAGTGATCCTGCAGTCATAGTCACTGGAACATCTGTGGATAATTTTTTTTTTTTTTTTTTTTTGAGACGGAGTTTCGCTATTGTTGCCCAGGCTGAAGTGCAATGGCGTGATCTTGGCTCACTGCAACCTCCACCTCCCAGGTTCAAGAGATTCTCCTGCCTCAGTCTCCTGAGTAGCTGGGATTACT